TCTTTTAGCAATCTCCATGTATTACCCGAGATCTTCAGCACTAATGCAATGTTGGGTGTAATTAATTACAAAGTAAAATTATTAAATTAAAATTACATTACAGTAAACCAATGACTTGTCTGCTGAAAATTGTAATTTGTTAGTAAGTAAAATATGAATATATATTATTACATCATACATAGACATACACATATGTTAAATACATTATACATTATATACATTATATGTTTATTATGTAATATATTTATGTTAATTTTTATGTGATTTAATTACAGTTATTTATTATACACTTGCCCTAAATACTGTTATTAATTTCAATAGTTCTATAAAAATCAGCTGAGTGAAGAAGAGTCTTGTTTTTATTATACTGATATATTTTGCAGAATAACTTTTTCAATTAAAGAAGTTTACATTTATCAAAATGATTGCACATGCATGCTTAAAAATCAAATGGGTGAAAAATCTGATTATGATATATAGTTTATTATAGTGAAAATTAAGAAGGGGTAATATTTTGCTTAGTTTGACTTTTTAAGCTAAACCAGATTGCATTTGTCCACAATTGCACATACTTGAGAAACAATTAAGACATTAATAGTATTATATGTGAAATATGGCATTATTGCTTTGAAGTATTTGATGTGTTGTTAAAAATTATGTTTAAATTTGATTAAAGAATTTTGTTTTATATTGAAATACTTAAATAATGCAATGCTTAAAAGCTAAAGGCCATGTTTATTCATATTTATTGATAAGTATTATTGAGTAAAGTAATCTTGACTAATTAAATAACTTTTCAGATGTAGTATTATCTAAATGCAATATTGATGTAATTTGGTAATTAATTACTTTCTTAAAGTAACTTTTTGTTGTGATGTTATCTTGCTTTCTGTAGCTGAAGTTAAAGAGTGTGAATTTGGTTGTTTAAGACGTCTATTTTGTTTGTTTATTTATTTATTTGGAGCAAAATGACCTAAATTTCATGATGGCTAAATATGGTTAATAAAGCATAATTATAACTTTAGTTGGGCTATTTCATTCGCTGTATAGTTATTATAATTAAAAATTCAACTGAAAGCTTATAAATATGTGTTATTAATTTAGTCACTATTTTATCTACCTTATAAAGCCATTTTAGCCAGGCCGTTCTCAAAAGCTCTAGTGCTCCATCTAGTGGCGGCTTCCTGTAAGACCAGACTGTAAACAAGCAGTTCTGACCAGTCCTAACTGGTTTAAACCGTGTCCGTGCACTGTCTGCCATCTAGAGGACTTTTATGGCATTGCTGTTCAGCCTTTATTTAAATGTTAATTTTGTGACACTGTAAAACAATAATTAATATTTTTACATTACTGTGAGGAATAGATTTAGGGTTGGGGTGGGGGTATACGTTAATAAAATACATTTTAATGGGTGATTTATTAAATAATTTGAATAATACTCTGTGTTATTGCTGTTTTTACATTACTGTGATGGTTGGGTTTACGGTAAGGGTTGGGGTAGACGTTAATTAAAGACAATTTAATGGATACTTGAAGAACTAATATGAATATTACTCTATATTTACTGTTTTTTAATTATTGCGAGGATTATGGTGTGTGTAGATGTATATGAAATACAATTAATGGGTAATTTTATGAATAATACCCTGTATAATTACTGTTCTCACATTATTATGAGAATTATGGTATGGGTAGACATTATTAAAAATAATTAATGTGTATGTTAGTAAAAAATATGAATAATACTTAATGAAATTACTGTTTTTACACTACCGTGATCGTTGGGATTATAGGGTGTAGGCAAAAATAAATAAATAAATAAATAAAATAATGCATAATTATAATAAATAATATAAGTAATTCTTGTTAACTTCCAGCCTGGGCTGTATCCCTTCTCCTATCAGCCCCTGCTGGAAAAAAACTGATAGAAACAGAAGTTATAATGGTTTACACAACAAAATACCATAGTGGCTTTAAACCATACAATAGTAAAGTATTTATTACAGTGTATTGGCTCACTTTACAGTATGCTGAAGCATTCATTAACAAAGTGTTATAAATATACAGTTTAATACACCCTACTATGGTACATTTTAATGGGTAATTTAATAAATAATTTGAATAATACTCTGTATTGTTACTGTTTTACATTACTGTGATGGTTGGGTTTAGGGTAGGGGTGAGGGTGTGTATTAATAAAATACAATTTAATGGATAATTTAAGAAATAACATGAATAATACTCTGTATAATTACTGTTTTTGCATTATTGTGAGAGTTGTTGTATAGGTAGATGTATATGAAATATAATTAATTGATAATTTAATAAATAATATGAATAACACTCTGTATGTTTACTGTTTTTACATTATTGTGAGGGTTATGGTATGGGTATGTTAATAAAATACAATTAATGGGTAATTTAATAAATAATATAAGTAATTCTTGTTAACTTCCAGCCGGGGCTTTATCCCTTCTCCTACCAGCCCCTGCTGAAAAATAAACTGATAGAAACAGAAATTATAATGGTTTACACAACAAAATAATATAGTGGTTTTGAACCATACTATAGTAAAGTATTTACTACAGTTTATTAGCTGACTAGTTACAACTCCAGTATGCTGAAGCATTCATTAACAAAGTATTATATATATATATAAATATAAATATAAATATAAATATATATATTATATATATATATATATATATATATATATATATATATATATATATATATATATAGTGTAATACACTTTACTACAGTATGGTTCAAAGACACCACAGCATTTACTATAAATTGCTAAAGTATATTTTCATGTATTATGCTGTTAAAAATATTATAAAAGCCATCAATATTTACCCATTAAAACCAGCCTATTTTAATGGTTTCTATAGTGAGTGTTGGGAAATATTTGTGGTGTTAACCAATATTCGTTTTTTCTTTATTTTTTTTCAGCATGTAGACTCTTGATAAAACAATTGTTTCTGTCCAAAATAATGTAAATATTAGTATCAAACCTGCACATACTTAAATTACCAGATGACATAGATATAAATAGTGTTACTTAAGTGTTTGTTTTGTTTTCTTTCTTTTTTGTGCACTATTTTCTGCATCTCTCTTTAACATTTCCTGTTTCCTGTCTGTTGTTTGTCTGTGATCTTCAACCCAACATTTGATGACATCCTCTCATGAGTTTTCTATCAGTTTTGCAAAGCTTCAAAAATAAGCAGAATAAATAAAACACAGTAAAAACACATTAAATTATATCAAATAAATTTAGACAGACAGACAGACAGACAGACAGACAGACAGACAGACAGACAGACAGACAGACAGACAGACAGATAGATAGATAGATAGATAGATAGATAGATAGATAGATAGATAGATAGATAGATAGATAGGTAGATAGAGGCCGACAGAACTTTACATAAATTAAATGTGAACAAAAAATACTCAACAATTATAAAAATTAAAAGAATTTAATAGAAATTACTATTCAAATCAATGTGTTTATTAAAGTAAAATTATTAAAAATGACTAAAATAAACATAATTAATAAATGCAGTACTATAATAAGTAAAGAAAACGTAATATAATATAAATTTTGTTTCATTTTTGATATGAAATTACTTATTAAAATATAAACTGAACAAATGTGAGAATTATATGCATTTCATTAAACTGCAAATAAATGTGAATTAAATGTGAATAAAAGAAATCAAAAATAATTTTATAAATGCCATCAAATGAGTAAAAATATATAATTAATTAATCATAATAATTGATTTTAATAATATGTAATTTTTACAGTATAAACTGGGTCTTTTTAGGGGGATAGTGTGTGTGAGAGAGAGTGACTCTGTCTTTCTTTAACAATTTAGGATGCGGGTAATTGGCACCTAAAAGGTTAAAAATATCTAAAATAGGCTGTTGACTACAATAAAGACAATAATAATGGTAAAATTATGATAATAAAGGGTAAAAAACATATCTGATCTGTACTTTTAAAAAGTAATTGTAAAAGAAAAGATTGATATATGATACACAATCAAACAAAGAGTCTGCCCTAATGACTGTTTCATACAGAAAAGATTATTCACTTCTTCTCTGGCAGCCCAGATAAATCAGCTTAGCAGATCTGTTGTGGTGTCCATTGCGGTTCAGGGTCAGTGTGCCACGCAGCCCTAGTGGTCACCTTGGTGTACTGCACTAATGCACAGCGCTCAAAGCCTTCATTTTACATTTCCGTGGGGATACTTGTTTTTTATGCTGTTTTAAAATGAATGAAGACATTTTTAGGGAAAAAAATATGAAGGTTGTTTATTAATATATAATAACAAGTGAATATCCTGCTGGTGCTCAATGACTAAAATAGGCCTTTGTGAGTGAAGCGATCAGCAGCAGCACATTATGGGACAGATGGCGAGCAGACTTTAAGCCACCATGACTGTCTGGGTTTATGGTCAGCCATTTTGTATAGAACAAATGATTGTAGAGAACATACTCAATGTTTAAGACTCTTTTGACCTCACAGAACACATTTTACACGTGTTTTAAGGTGAAAATAACATAAATTATATTTTAAGATGTAAAAATGTTTTATTTTTGACTCTTAAGCATTGGCGTTCACTTTAGATTCTTCAGAATACACCATCTATCCCTGGTCTATAAATTAATTTCGACTTATTGGAGTATTAAAGGACACGGACTTCGCTTCAGGGCGCCAATGAGAACAAAGAATAGGCGGATTTACAGTTTGAAAGCTTCATACTGACGTTCTGGACGACCCGTCGAAAATCTACTGCGCGCGTATTTCCAGCCAATCGCGTCAGGCTATAAAGACCGATTATGTTGATAAGCGTGATCTGTTTGAGTGACAGGCACGTTCTCCAATCACGCGTTGACAAATAGCGATCATCCAATCGAAACGCGAAGTAGGCGGGATCTCAAAAAGGGGGTTGGGTGCGAGGTATCATGGAGGATCAGTTGGAGAACGGCAGCCATTGAAGATAGCCGAGCCGTTGGTCCGCGCTCCGGAGTTTCTGACAAATTTATTTTCTTTACGCGATCCCAGCGCAGCAATAACCAACCAAATGGAGATGAAGAAGAGGATTAGCTTAGAGCTGAGGAACAGAACTCCAGCAGAGGTGAGCGCTTTAACTATTTATTTTGTTCACAGAAACGCGAAATGATGTTAGTTCGCAACCTGTCTGTCTATCTATCCTGCACGCTCGGAATAGTCAGTGGAGTCCGCTGAATGGCAGCGCGGCTTGGAGACCACATGGGCGCCTTAACGGGATGCCAATTTGGATTTTTGGAGACTGCATATTTGGATATACACAAACAAGTAGTCGATATAATCGTAATTTTAAGCGCGTTAAACTCTTGGTGAATCTTTTGTGAACTCCTCACACGATCTCTTCGCCATTACATTAGACTTGTCGATGTGGGCGTCCCAACAAGCACCTCAAAATAACACACTTCGATATTAAGTATTTTTATCGGTCGCAAATATGTTTATTACTCAACAAGTGTCGTCTAATTTGCTTACGATGTTATTACAATGCCCCGATACGATATTGTTCCCGCTTCCAGCAGGAAACGGTAACAATTAAAGTAAAACTGTTGTGTATTGTTATATAATTCCTACCCCAGTCTTCCTTACATGCAAAACATCACGCGAATAAATCTCCTATCTCTTCATATAAAAAGTTTATTATACGCTAGCTTCACAGATGCGCTCCCTACTATATGGCTTTTCTAATCTAGTAACGTACGTTAAAAAACGAGCAGTTTCGTCTTCCATAGGCGGACATCTTACTCTCTCCGGCTCCTCAACATTAGGCATTCACTCGCCTCCGTTCTTCATCTTAAGACCCTCTAAAATGTTCAGGGTTTGAGAGCACAAGCACATATGGAGCGAATGTCAGGTCAAACTGTATTATGAAGCGTTCATGGCTTCTGCAGCGCCTCGCGGTGTGTGTGGTGAGGATGTGTGTGTGTTTCTGCTCGACTCCGTGTTGACGGGCGGGGAGTGGAAGTCATTTTGTTGCATCAATAGTTGAGACGCAGATGACGATGTTTTGAAGCTTTGACTCTGTTATTATTAATAAAAGTTCAGTGGTTTGATTCACTACGCTTACGTGGTGTGGAGAAACGAATAATTGGCGCATAAGAGCCAGAAATAGTCGCTGCGGTTTAAAAAAAAACTAGTTGCCATTTTCTTACGCGGTTACGTTAATGGCGTAATTATGTAACCGTCTGCAAAATTATTTATTCCCGACGTTAAACTATGCATTGGGCTTTAGGAAGCTGTTTAGGATGTCAGTCGCCGTTTTAATTGAAGGAATGTGGCAGATGGTGAAGGGCGAGCCCCCCTTCCTCCTCTCCGATTTTAGTAGATTATTGTAGGCTTGCCTGAACCGAAGTATTGAAGCACGCTTCTTTTGAATGGGGTAATGATGGATGGGATCTTTTACACGAGCTTGAGTTGATACTCTGTCTGACATGACATGGTGGACGTGCATAAGCGATACGTGGCTTTTAACTTGGGTGTATCTTGCGCCACCGGTTTAAAAAATCTTGCGCGCGCTGTGTGAACATCTTGTGAAGAGCTGGCTGTAAATTCACACACACCAAATCCTGTGAGATGAGGTGGGGGAGGCATTACCAGGGCTACATTACACACACATCACGTGCTCAAAATGTAGGTATCTTTCCACAAGGGCAACAAGTTATTGAATATTTAAATTTTAGGGCTGCAGTGCATGACAGTGAGCGCGCGCGTGCACGTTTCTGTTTGTTTTTAATGGGAGAATCAGCACGTCTTTCCTCAAAGCTTTTAAGTGCACATCTGTTTATTTGTTGAATACATTTTTTTTGTATATATAGAAAAGTTTCAAACTTGTCAGATAAACAAATATCTATGTTAAAGGAATTGTCTATATTATAATTTAAATCCCATTTAAATTAAATCATTCCTGTTAAATACATTAATTACTTACATTAAAATGTAAAAGTGTAAATACATTAGAAAATATGTGTGTATTGTTTGTTTCAATAATTGGAATTAAAAACAGGCTCAACCAATGGTGGGAGACGGGGGCGGGGCTATCCAATGATAAATAGCATACAGCAGCTCTACAGAAACAGGAAGGATTCATACTTTGTGTAGTGCAAAATAAAAAAAAAAAAACATTTATATTCCAACCCATATTCAGTTATTTTTTTGCTGTCTCTAAATGTTCCATCTCCGTTAATTTTGTTTATGCTATATATTTTCCAATGTTTTTGAACTTTTTGGGAAAAGAAATGTATTTCAATTTTATTACTATTAATAAATGGGATTTCATTTACATGGGTCATAAATTAATTATAGACAATTCCCTTAACATGTATGGCTGTTTATCTGACACACACACATATATATATATATATATATATATATATATATATATATATATATATATATATTATGTTAGGGAAAAATATTAAACAAAAATAAATTTAAAATAGAGCAAAATTCAAGAAAAACTGAATTTATAAAATATAATAAATAATTTTGTTTTGCAATGTTTCACATGAATTTAAATGTTTTTTTTTTTATATATAAATATACCTATTTAAAAAATCTATTTTGTTTAAATGCACTAAAATATATGACCTATGTTTACTGATAAATTAAGAAAAATATTCATTTGCAAAATGGGATGTACTCTACACACATTGGCGTCAATATACCCTATGATATGTCGCACAAATTTCATAGCTTAAGTGCTTTGAGATTGGTTTTCCAATAAAACCAACAAATATTTTCTTATCTGCTCCATCATCCTTAAAAACAACAGTATAATATTTACTTGTATTCTTCACTGCCTCATTTTCATTCCTGTCAGAAATAATATATAGCTCTTCCCTGACTAAGGTCTATGGAGAAGTGTTTGTGAAACCGGTATAAAAACAGCCAGTAGTCATCATAAATGATGCACTATACACTGTGTGCTTAACATTGTGTACACTATGTATCTTCCCATCCCATTCAGCTTTGGAGTTTGATAGCTCCTCCCCTATTACTATATAAGGAAAGCTATGCCTGTTCAGTGCATTAAGCTTCCAGTGTTGCACACTGTTCTCCCCCAGTTAGTTTGGTCATTGAGTTATCTATAGTGCAACATTTTTTATTTATTTATTTATTTATTTTTAGCTACAAAATAGCATAATAGAAAAATCTCATCACATTATGTGCTTTCATATCCTGATAACTAATGTATATATATATATATATATATATATATATATATATATATATATATATATATATATATATATATATATATATATATATATATGAGCAATTCTGTGCAAATGTCAACCTTGCCATGAAAAAAAATTAAGTTTTTACCAAAATACGGAAACCATTTCTGGGTTTTTTTGTGTAAGCAAGAATTTTACAGTACTTTAAAAATACTCAAAAATGCATCTGTCAATGTTTTCAAACTATTCTGTTTGATTTACCAAAGTCACACAAATGGTAATTTCACATGCGTCACATCCATAACAGAGAGATGTCACATCCATAACGACGCTTTTTCCTCAGAAATGTGAAAATATTAAATTAAATAAAACCAATCATTTTTGTTTTGTAGAGAGCCGACTCTAATCCTTTTGATTAGCATCATTTCTTTTGGGTTGTGCAGTTTAATTCACATAATTTCTACAAAGTGTGTTGTATACTGTAAACTATACTGTCACATCCATAACGCATGCTTATTTTCCTCATTTAAAGTACAAACACATTTACAGATTGATATTTTTCTGCTCCTATAACTCTGTGGCTAGTTGCTCTAGAAAATATAATACAATTTTTCAATATAATGTTAACATATACTTTCTCTGTCAATTTATGTGTTGATTTTTTACTGCAAATGTCACATCCATAACGCTGGAATTGCTCATATATATATATATATATATATATATATATATATATATATATATATATATTCAATCAGTAGTTTATTTAGAGTATACACATGTAAAGGACTATTCTTTCTATTGCTTTGAAATGTACTCACTTATATGGGATCTCTTTATTTATAACTTAATGGCAAATGTTTGTTTAAAAATTTAGAAATATATGTTAATAAAATATAAAAGACATTTTAAAAATAATCATTACAGGTCCAACATTAAAATATTGCTAAATAAAAATGCAAGATGTAAACAATGTACTGTAAATATTGCAACATTCTTGCTTTGCTAATATTTATGTTTCTGTCAGCATCACTGTAATGGCATGTTGAATTGCACTCGTATAAATTGACATAGTATAACCATAAACAATGTATTGTTTGACACCATAACATAAATGATAGAGCACAAAACGAAAAGATAAACACCATATTTTGTGCATGTGACATATATTATATTGTACAGCACTAACTAAGTGATTATATCGGAGCAAAGTTTCTAAAAGTTTTTCAATATGCAACTAAATGTTTGTATAAATTAAATAATGTGTATTTGTAACAATAACAGCAGTCAAGTGTTGAAACTTTAAGCTTTTATTCATGTTTCTAGAGTTAGCATATGGCTTATATGCCATAAGATTCTGATGGCATGATAACCTTGGATAAAAATATCACAGTATTGTGATTACTGCTCTAAAATGTGTTTTTTTAAATATCTCTGTAAAAAAAAATACATTCCCTTATAACAGAAGATTTAGCTGGTTTTAAAACTTTGACTTTTCCAAACCGTGTTAAATCTTGTAATCGGTTATCATTCTATGTCTATACTAGTGTTTAAGCATCAGTTCGTGTTGATGTCTCCTGCAGGTAGCAGAGCTGGTGGTGGATAACTGTCGCTCCAGTGATGGGGAGATTGAAGGCCTGACAGATGATTTTAAGGAGCTGGAGTTCCTCAGCATGGTCAACGTGGGTCTTACATCTCTGGCCAAACTACCCTCACTACCAAAACTGAGGAAGGTCAGTCAAGAAATTCATTCATTCACTAAAAAAACACCAAGCAAAATTCTCTTCACAGGAGTATTTGAAAAATGAGAATTCTGTCATTTACTAAATCATATTCTTTCTGTTGGACTGTACTGCTTTTAATGTCTGCCAGAAGGCTTTTATTATAAAATGAACTCGCTTAAGGAGATATTCTGCAAAGTGCCACCAGGAAAGTGTTATGCATTAATGTTAAAAGTCAGATGTAATATCTATATTCATTTGCTTGTTGTTTTTAAATGGTGTATTTGTTACTGAAATGTTTTTGCCATGCAAAATAGCCTTTGTTGCTGACATGGCATTAAATGAAAATACATCATCTGTCGTTTACTCATCCTCCACTTCAAATCCATTCCTCATTGAGTTTCTTTCTTATGTTGAAGATGTATTGAGGATTGTTGCAAAGCATCAATTGTTTTTGTATCTACTATGAATTTCAATGGCTGTTTTTTCCCCCAACATTCTTCAAAATATCTTGTTTTGTGTTCAACATATTATAAAGACTCATAAATGTTTAAAAGCACCTAAGTGTGAGTAAATGGCAAGTCGCTTTTAATTTTTAACTGAACTGTCCCTTTAAGTGTGATGCTCTAACCGTGCTGAAAGCTGATACTGTAACGGTTTACATATTAATGTAGACACGCTGTATTATTAAAGTGCACGAAAAATGGATTGAGGATGCTTAGTGGAAAAGAGTGTTTTGAGACAGGAAAATATCCATTTGAAGTAGGTTAATTTATTATTGCACGTTTGTATAAAGCACAAGTCTACTATATATGTTATATAGATGTTAAATGGCATGCAGTACTTGAGTAATCATGCTTTAAAGGGATAGCTCACCCAAAAATGTGACTTTCCACATTGTTTGCTTGCACTGTATTGATTATAAACACATGCATTTCTTCTGTAAAACACCAAAGAAGATATTCTGAGGAATGTTGGTGTAAAGCAGCCATTGACATCCTTAGTAGAAACCCAAATACTTGTTTTGTTTTTTAGTTTTTTCTTCAATAGATCTGTGTTCAACAGAAGAAATAAAGACTCAAACAGCTTTAGATGAAGTGGAGAATGAGTAAATGATAACAGAATTTTCATTTCTTGGTTGAACTATCACTTTAAAGGTCCCATGAAATAAAAGAACGTTTTTTTAGATGTTAGTATTGTTAGTTTTTAGGATATCTATAAGCTATCGTGTTTCAAAACGCAAATTGTCACGGTTTTGAAGATATAAAACTAATATAAACATGTAAGGCTTGTAGTTTGTCACTTCCACTATTAGGCTGCATTTACACTGCAGATCGTGATGGTCAATTCCGATTTTGTGACTGTATCGGATTTTTTTTTTGATGACCTGCTTGCATCATGTTTTAAAAGTGACTCGTATCCAATCGTCTGCATTTACACAGCAAAGGCGTGTAACGGAGGCCAGCCTTATTAGAGCAGCCGACTCCCATGCGGAAGGTCGCCGGTTCGATCATAGCTCGGAGCGGGTTGGGTGGTGTAGGACTGGCGGTGTTACATTGGTGCCGTGACCCAGATGGGAGTGAGGTTTAGGGGGGTGAGTGTAACAGAGGCCAGCTAGTAAGAGCTGTGCAGGTAAACCTCACTCCTCTGACCTCTTAAGGTGCTCTAGCGACAGACGCTAGAGGCCATGGTCTTTAGCCTCCTTTTTAGAGCAACCGACTCCCATGCGGAAGGTCGCCGGTTCAATATCAGCTCGGAGCAGGTTAGGTTGTGTAGAACTGGTGGGGTTACAGGCGTAATGACCAGGAGAGAAAAAAAAGCGGGCGCTGACTAACAGCTGATAATTAAAGAGTGCTCTTTTCTCTATTCCTGTATGTAATCTGTTCACAGCTTTTGATGAGCTGTTTTACTATAGTTTATAACTATATCAATATAGTTTATATTGATATGTAGGCTTTTTTAAACCTTTAGGCATCTTAATGTGATGTCCATGGCGGGATTTATGCACGTGATGTACCTATGCACTAGTTTTATATTAGTTTATAATGGATATGTAGCAGACATTGTGCTCTCTCGCTCTCGTTAACATGCTTAAATACCCGTGCTATATGACAATTTAAAAGCTGTTTAAGTCCTCGTGTATGAGATTTAAAGTTTGGGATTATACTAAAGTCTGTTCTGAAATGAAAGCATCAGACATGACATCATTCGCTACGGTTTTTAATGACACGTGACTCGCATTGACAGGTGAAAATCCGATCCACCTGCTCACACTGCAGACACTAGAACAGATCCGATATATATCTGATAAATTTCCACATATGAACAAGGCCTGAATCTGTTTTGAGTAAATCAGAATCAAAGTGATTTGTTCCTGCTAACACGAACATGGGCCAAATCCGATCTGTGCTACATGGGAGAAAAAAATCGGAATTGATTCACTTGAACAGTGCCGTGTAAATGCGGCCTAAGTTTTTCCATCAAATCTTAACCAATCAAATGCTCTCTCGTATCTGACATGCCCCGCCTCCTTTAGGATGCTTCACATTTGATGCACTTGAGCTCAACCACTCACTGCATGAGTGGTGATGAAACAAAATGCGATTGGCTATTTTTAAAAAAGGGGAGGGACTACATTATGTCCCACCCTCTCTTTCTTTTTCGGTTGAGATTACGTCAAACATCAAATATAACGCACATTTAAAATCACTTCACAGACTTTATCAAACATTGTTAATTTCGTAAATGGTTGGAATTTGATTCAGGCAATGTTTGACATTGTTCTATAGTGAGCTTATTAAATGCCGTGAAAGTGAAACTGAATTACTGAATGTTCATATTTAAAGCGACTCTGTCTTTTCCAGTTGGAGTTGAGCGATAATAACATCTCGGGGACACTGGAGACTCTTGCTGAGAAATGCGCCAATCTGACCTACCTTAATTTGAGTGGCAACAAGATCAAAGAGCTCAGCACACTGGAGGCCCTGGTAAATACACACTATAATAATACATTTAAACCATATAGACTTATTGTTGAATAAATCCTATATTTTGGAGGTGTTAAGTAATCAGTGAGGCATGACATACTCTTCAATCCTCAGCAAAACCTAAAGAACCTGAAGAGCTTGGACCTGTTTAACTGCGAGATCACCACGTTGGAGGACTACAGGGAAAGCATCTTCGAGCTGCTGCCTCAGGTCACATATCTGGACGGCTTCGACGCTGAAGACAACGAAGCTCCAGACTCGGAGGCTGACGATGATGGTAAGAAACACAAATCATGGTGAAGTTTAATCAATTGGTCGAAGCTTTTTAAGGCGCTACATTGAAGCTCTTGTTCATCGTGACATTTAAACATAAATAAGTTACATTCTTTTCATTTATTTTTAGCAATAAGCCAAGTCTTTACGTATAAATGGATTTTATAAGAATGATATTGTTTTCTTTGTGTATAGTTTTGCTAAATGGTTTTGTGTAGTTATATGCGTGTTATATATGTTACTACCTCTGAGTTTGCAATGAATATACCCTCTGATGCTGACATGGTATTAAACACATTTATAGAAACAAAAACAAACGTCTTGCAGGTTAAGGTTAGTTGCCTTAAAAATCAATTATATCATATATACAGTTTAAAAAAAAGAATAATTAACTAGAGCTGTGGAGGAAAATTGTTTAAAAAATCAATTCAAATATTTTCATAGTTGCATTGCTCTCTCTTGAATGTATTCTGAGCTTAGTTTTTAACAGCAGATGGCGCTGTATGATTACAAACAGCCACACTATTCTTGAATCCAATTCCTTACCCATACCAGTTGATCCTCCTTCGTACAGTTCTTGCCATGGCATAATATATGATGTGTGTGTGTATATATAATAATATGTATATATAAATTATGCCGGCAGGTAGCTCTCTGCAACTCTCACATGGTTGCCTTCTGAAGCTAAGCAGGGCTGTGCCCGCTTATTACCTGGATGGGAGACCAGACTAGAAAGCTAGGTTGCTGCCGGAAGTGGTGTTTTAAGGCCAACAGGGGGCGCTCAACCTGCAGTCTGTGTGGGTCCTAATGCCCCAGTATAGTGAAGGGGACTCTATACGAGCTCTGAGTCTTTCAATAGAGACGATAAACTGTTTTCCTGACTCTCTTTGGTCATAAAAAAATTCCAGGATGTCCTTCGAAAAAGACTAGGACTTATCCTTGGCATCCTGGCCAAAATTGGCCACTGTCCATCATGTCCTCCAGACCATTGGCTTCATCACTCTGTCTCCTCTCCACCAATAAGCTGGTGTGCGGTCCCCTCCTCTCCCCCTCCCCCCTTTGTGTAAAGTGCTTAGTGTCTAAAAAAGTGCTATATAAGTGTTGAATTATTATTAAAACATAAATAAATAAATACAAGATGAACCTTAATTATCATTAATAAATTTAGGAAAGCTGTAAGTGAATTATAAGAAAGTTCATCGTGAAGTGTTTGCATTAATATCATGACTTACAGGTGACTTGCATGACTAAGCTGATGTGTTCAGCGCTCTTTCCTTTGTATAATTAGCACTTGTGTGTGTTGCCTCCTCTTGTTGAATCGCTGAATGCCTCAATTGTAAGTTGATTTGGACCAAAGTGTCTGCTAAATGTAAACGTCTTCCACTTGTATTTAAGCGTATGGTTAAACTAGTCTGAGCGACATCTGCTGTTAAAAACTCACATAATAAGCAAAAAAATAAAAGCCACACATATGGTGCAGTAGAAAAGTATTGAGCGTTATGTAATTTTTCCACCACTTAATGCAGACGATGATGAGGATGGTGACGAAGGAGCAGGGCAGCTGGGAGAGTACGAGGAAGAAGAGGAGGAGGATGAGGAAGGTTCAGAGGGTGGAGAAGTTGGGCTGTCCTATCTAATGAAAGAGGACATCCAGGTGATGTAGCTGCTGCTTTCTTTTTTTTTTCCTTTTGTTAAACTATGCATCTTATTAACACTCCATTCCTTTGATAAAAGGACGAGGAAGATGATGATGATTACGTAGAAGAGGAAGAGGAGGAAGGCGGCGAGGGTAAGCATCAGTTATGCTATCTAGTAGACGTACACTACCTGAAAAAAGTCTTGTAAGAGCAACAAATAATAACTTGACTTCTAGTTGATCATTTGGAAAAGTGGCTGTAGGTGGATTTTTCTGATGAATCATCTGTTGAGCTGCATCCCAATCATCATCAATACTGCAAAAGAACTGTTGGAACCCGCATGGACCCAAGATTCTCACAGAAATCAGTCAAGTTTGGTGAAGCAAAAGTCATGGTTTGGGATTGCATTCAGTATGGGGGCGTGCGAGAGATCAGCAGAGTGGATGACAACATCAACAGCCTGACGTATCAAGACAATTGTGCTGCCCATTACAGTACAAACCACAGGAGAGGGCCAATTCTTCAGCAGGATAGCGCTCCTTCTTATGCTTCAGCCTCCACATCAAAGTTCCTGAAAGCAAAGAAGGTCAAGATGCTTCAGGATTAGCCAACCCAGTCACCAGAGATGAACATTATTGAGCATGTCTGGAGTAAGATGGAGGCATTGAAGATGAATCCAAAGAATCTTGATGAGCTCTGGGAGTCCTGCAGGAACGCTTTCTTTGCCCTTCCAGATGACTTTATTAATCAGTGATTTGAGTCATTGCAGAGATGTATGGATGCAGTCCTCCAAGCTCATGGGAGTCGTGCACAATATTCATTCTGTTTCCAATGCAGCATGACTTTATATTATATACTTAAAAATCAAGGCATGATCCTATTTTATTGTGGTAAAATAAGTGTAATCTCTAGGCGTTTGCCTTTTAATTTAAGCCACTTCTGATACCAAATGATCAACTATTAGTCAAGTTATTATTTGTTCTTTCTAAAACTTGGAAAGGGGACAAGACTTTTGTCAGGCAGTGTATGCCAGAATTCAGTAAAACTATATCATGAAAACGGACATATCATACTTCAAGATACTGTGAATAATGATTTATTACTTAAAGTTGCTGTTTAAGAATATTTTGATTGTATTTGCAGTTTTCATTACATTAGCACATGCTTAAAGACCTTGTTTATCTTTTTAGTAACATTTACACATTAACCTAGCTGAAATTATCAGTCTGAAACTGCTGAAAATTTAATTGAAAATTCTGACTATTTCTAAGCCTCTTGTACTTTTAAAACTGTCCAATAAGGCTCCAATAGCTAACATTAATTAAACCAAACTCAACGAAAAACTACAAAAGCTTTTATTAATCTTAGTTGATGTTCATTTCTATATGCAAACTAGCTCATTTAAAATCATAGTCGTCGTCTAATTATAAGTCGTAAAAATTTTATTAAATTTAATAACTTTTAAAATTCTGTTGTATTAAATTGATAGTAATATGCTGCTAACTGTAATAAATTAGCTTATTCTCATTGTTGATTTTAATTTAACAAACATTTACTAATGAGACTTTGTTATAAAGCACCAGCTATTGCATTTCATCATCCTTTTGCAATTTAATTTGGTTAATCTTCATTTTCTCAGATCATGTATGTACAAAAACGCTGTATACAAAATATTTTTTCTTTTTTTACTTGTTACTGTAAACTTTTTTGCAGCTTGTCAATATTGTGATAAAACCATATACAGTGAGGATAACAAAAAAGTGATATTTTCATAAGCCTGTCGATAAAAGTCCACTTTTCAGCCTAATCGATGAGCTTTGTACTCTGTGCAGAAGAGGCTGATGTTCGAGGAGAGAAGCGAAAGAGGGAGGCAGAAGACGAGGGTGAAGATGACGATGAAGACGACGACTAACCCTTTTTCTGACTCCTTGGAAAACCGTATCCAAGCTTTAGATCAACCCTGAAAAAGACCGTGATCTTGCAGATTGTTTTTTTTCTCTTTGTAAACCATAGATAAATCACTGTAGAGGCTAAGTGTTTTCTTTTATAAATGCGTTATATATTATTACACTATATAATAAGGGGGTTTATTGACAATTCAGTTATAGCCATTCCAAGTTTATTCCCAACATGTTCAATCAGTGTCGTCGGGTAAGTGGGCGGGGATCGGTTGGCGAGGGCGTGAGCTTTGAGATTTCCTGATTGTAAATACAGCGCTAGGATTTCACCACTGAGAGGAGACGGCAGCGAACGTTTGTCCAAATCCACAAACTCCTCTGTGAGGAAGCAGAGCGTTTCCTGCTCCTCTTCTACCTCTCCGGGTCTCATGCTCCGCCTATCACGGAGCAGCCAGCCAATCATCTCCAACCGTCAACCCCCCTTAGTTCCAGGATCCACCAATCGCTGCCAAGGATCTCGTGTCAGTCTCTTTATATGGGAACGGACTCCACTTTTCTTGTAGATCCGGCTCGTGTCGGCAGGCCAGATGGTATGTGATCTTGTGAGAAATTTTATGTATGTAAATGTGATGTGAAGGATCGTTGGCAAATCAAATTTCAGTTTTAATCTCCAAGTAGTTTTTTAATAAAGAGATGGATCATGTGCAACCTATGAGCAGTTCGCCCTTTCTCAGCTTTTATGCAGAAGCCACCTATTTTTGAAAATGTGTCATCCTTGACGTTAAATCAAATATAAATGACGATTTGCTAAGAGAAAGGCTTTCGCTGGAAATTTCTCACCATGTTCAGGTTGAACAGCTTTGTTGGATTAAATGGCACCCTTGAGTACCTTTCTACCTTCTGTCTTGGTGTGAAACAGGTTAGTTTCTACCTTTCGTTGTGAGGTATTTTACAAAGTAATACCTTTAATCTAATGTTCGTATGGCAATATGTATATAGTATCTGTTTCCTTTCTTTTTTTTTTAAACTAATCTGTTTGGTCAGTTGTTTTAATACAAAGCACACGTCAAAGGATTTACATACACGCAGGTCACCTGTTTCAATTTCAAGTACTTGGTTGTTGTGCGAGTGTAGTGTTTGGGGGTTTCATGTGCTGTAAACCTCTCTAAAAGGGTTTTAGTTTTGTTGTTGGATTTTGATGTTTTGTTTTGAGTTTAGATTCCTCTGTCTCCTTTTTTAAGCTCCTTTGTCCAGTTATGAGCTCCACTTAATTTAGATGTAACGAATGAGTGATTTGTCCTTTTGATTATTAAAGTTATCTTGTGTTCTTTGTCTGCTAAAGATTTCTCTAATTTGACCACAAAATATTGCTCAAACTGAGACCCACGAGCTCTGTCTGTACGCCTCAAACACGGGTGAATAAGCACTGTTTCTATTGTCTGGAGTTGATAGGAATAATGTGTTCTGATTAAAATGCCGGTGATGTTTTAATCCTGTTTATTTTCTTTTTAGATGATATTGACAAATTTATAGAACCCTTTCAATGAGTGCAACCTGGTGTAAGTTTGATGTGGAAAATAAAGGAAAAACCTGTCACCCTAATGTCTTTGTGCTTTAGAAAACACTTGAATTTTGTGTTTATGAAAGAACGAATATGTAATCTGCGATGACTTTACAATTAAACTCTAAAGCAGGGTGTCTGCGGGGTCTTCAAGTATTCAGAGTTGATAAATCAATATAGAGAAATTTAAGGCCCTCAAAATGTATTAGTCTTAAATGCTGCTTCGGTATTAAGTTTGATGTCATTTTTCATTAGCATACGCCAAGCATTGCATAAAGTTTGCCTGAATTAAATCTGCCAATATCAGGATGCTGTGTAGTTTATTAAGTCAATGAAATCCTGCCAGATTTGACATCAAGCTGCTTTGTTTTCTGCAGAAACTTATTTCTACATTTCTATATGCACTAACCTGCTGAATTGGCTAGATGATTCATGTTTTAGTTTTGGATGAATTTTTTACATTAATATTTAGTAAATAAACTAAGTTAAAATCTCGCCAGTATTTCCAGTTAAAATGTGGTGATAAGGTCTTAATGCATGGAAAGAGTCTTAAAGGTCTTAAAAGGTATTGAATTTCACTCTCTGATTTCTGTATATACTCTGTTATGGCTTCTGTTTGTTTGAAATACACTAGGCCTGCACAATATATTGTTTCAGCATTGATTTTGTGATAGTTGTATGACAGGATCTGCAATAATGAGTTGTGATTATACTTACCAATGATTTATGGAGTCTTCACAGTTAAACCCTAATAGAGTGAAAGATTTACATTACGATCAGTTTTTAGGAGTTGTAACTAAGATATCACATGAATTTAAACCAAGAAATTCTAAAGTTTATAAATTTACAAAGATTATTTGTATTTAACAGTGTTATTTGATTTATATTTATACAAAACCATTTTTATCGTTTTATTGTATTCCTCTATGATTGCAGATTGTTTTTGTTTTATGCGGATGTAATCCTTTTCAAGGTATTTAGTTATTTAGGTTATCTTTTGTGAAATTATATTAATTGCAAAAAATAAAATAAAAATTGCCAATTTTTCCCCCAATATTGTGCAGCCCTAATACACTTTCAGTTCACTTTAGTGTGTAATGCTGCTGTTTGAGCATGACTAGGCTCACATGCAATCTGTTAGTTTTAAGTAGATCTATAAGCTAGTGTGCTTTAAAACTGTGACAATTTACAATTGGAATAATGTAAAGCTGATAAAGATGTAAAATTAGCAGATTGTCACTTCTACCTAAATGGATCATTGATTTTTTTTTTTTTTTCACGTCAGACAATGCTGCAGTTTCTCTTCAAATCTTGACCAATCAAATGCTCTCTAGTATCTGACATACCCCGCCCTCTTCTCATTTCAATTTCATTTGATGCGCTTGAGCTCAACCAGACACTGGCAGAGCTGTGATAAAAAACATGCTATTAGCTGTTCTTTTAAAGGGGAGGAGCAAATCTATGCCCTGCCCTCTCTTCAATTTTCAGGTAAGATTGTCAAACATTGCATAGAAAATGCACATTTCAAAGCACTTTTTGGTAGAGCTGAAGATCTTTGCCCGAACCAGACAGGTGGGTTTGATTTCTATCATTTTAGACAGGGTTGGAAAAAGCTTGGCTTGCACAGTAGGTAAATAAATAGTCATGTGATGCATTTATCAAATCGTTTGATACAACATTAAAATCCATCCCTGCAAAGGTGAAACAAATGATGACGAAGTTAAAAAGAGTAAATATTGACTGCAGTCAGGCCAGTCACCACTTCAGAAGGAACGGTCATTCTAGCCGCCAAGGTATTGGCGGTCGCTCATACACTGCGTATTACGGTAGAGCGCTAAACCGCAAGCTGACAGGTAAAAAGACGAGGCCATTCGCTACATTGATACTGCTGTCATGGAAAATTAAATGGATGTTCCTGGCTGGTAGAAGATGAACAAACAATCCTACCCAAAACTTGCCAAATTAGCCAGATCAGAAGTCTGCATCTCGGCCTGTAACAGCAGCAGCAGTGAAAGGGTGTTCAGTCCTGCTGGACGCACCATTCTAAGCACAGGACTGTGCTAAAGCCATTTACAGAGGATTCAATAATGTTCCTCCACAAAAACACGTGGCTCAATCTTGGTGATTAAAGGTTTTTTAAATTATAAATAAACATTAAACCATAAAATCATAATGTATACAGGCTAATGTTGGCATTAATCTTTAAATATTCAGCTTCACCGTCGCCTTAAGGCCAGATTGTAAAGAGAAGTGGCGAAACAAATCTTGCAGAGCCTTTATCTTAATTTTGTTAGTGCCAAATACCCGTCATAATTTAGAATTTAATTTGTTGAGAAAGACTTCTTTTCATTGGTGTGTTGGCCAATTTAAAGGCTAAGTGTATGTACCTAGGCCTATTTAGAGTGCTGAGATGTGACAATGTTACAGAGGACTTATTTTATTCTTTGTTCCAACTTCCAAGTGGCATATAGCTTACGTTTGTTACGAATAAATTATGTTAAAACATATAAATGACTCGTTCTTGAACAAAAGGCAAAAGAGCTGTGTGCCTGTGCACATTTGTATAATGTCGGGCTGTGAACTGGTTCTGGCTTTTAAAAAGCTGCCAATCACATTGTACCTGTCGGGCTCGAGCCCCATCGGGCCTAATTTTTATGGCCTGATTACAGCTCTCATTCATTGGGGCTATGATGGCTACACCCTCTTTTGGAATGTGGGCGGGGAGCAGCGGCTTCTAATTTGCATTTAAAGAGACATGAAAAGCAGGATGTTTTTTCTTACTCCCAGTCACAAAAGCAGCATTAATAGCATGTTCTAATTTGAGCTGCAGCTTCATACACATTCTGGGGATACCCAAGACTGTTATTACATCTTGTAAAAATGGGCATGAGTCCAAGCCGATGACCCCTTTAATAGAATTACACAAATCCCTGCTCAAGTGCAACTTGTTGACTTTTCCTTTATTTAGCTTGAGGCACGTGAGCTCCACAGGCCGGGAGTCAGCCTGCTAACTTTAATTTTACACCACTCTGCCATCTGCAAAGCCTTGTACTTGGTAGCATTCATCATTTATGAGCTACACAAACTTTAAGCAGCGGAGCATAGTGGAAAGGGGCGTGGCATGCGATCAACTACCAAAAGCATCATTAATTAATCAGAAGACGCACCTGACATCCAGCCAATAGAAGCACAGATACAACAGTGGAAGGGTGGAGTCGCTGTGATGCTCATTAAATGTTCATACCTTTGATAAGTGAGTGTTTCACTATAGGTGACTGTAATTAATATTAAGAAGCCGAATGCTGATGATTACATTATTCAAGTTTATACATCATGCAGCCTGCAATTCAATGATTTAAATCCTTTTATTGTAAGCTGACAAATACCATCAGAACATGTCAAAAATGTTTAGTTTAATTTAAGAGCAGAATGTAACATGAATGTTATGTGGACAGCATGAATAACATTTTGCATTTACAGCTTTTTTGTCATCATGAATTTAAAATGAAAATAGGCTATATTAACTTTAAACTGCATATGACCTTGATTTATGTCTTTTTTGTTAATTCCAATGACTGTAAAAAAAAAATATGGACGACGCGACAGCCCCTTTTCCCATTGAACGCCTTGAGGGCAAAACGCCTGCTTGACGGGCACAAACTGTCGCAAAAGACTGCTGAAATTGGAGCCTTGACATGCGCAGAAGGACTGTCTGATGGAGCCAGAGGAGGAGCCGCGAAAATAAGCAGAGTCGAGCTTCCAACCACACGCTTTATGTAAAATCAACCACGCCCCCCAAACTTCCCTGCATGCGTTTGCTGTCATATAAACACAAATGGATTTAATAACGTTAACAAATATGAGGGTTTTATATATTCAATCGCGCCAGCTCCGGGCCGCAGCGCATAACCTACTCGCGGCGTTGCGGGCTGATTCCGCCTCGCATGCGGCAGCGCCGGCTCGCTCGGCCGCCGCATCTGGCTCGATTGACTCGGGCTGGAATCGGTCAGTGAGTCCAGGCATCCGGAGTAGGTCCAGCAGAGGTAGTCAGTCTGAACTCTGAGTGGTAAGTCTCCGGCAGGCGAGAATCTAGCCGGAACTGGCCCGAGTGTGTTTTGCTATCTGGGTGGTTAGGCGTACGTGTATCAGCAAACTAATAAAGCCCGAAAAAAGCCCTGACCTTAGCGAATAAACAGTGTTCCACCAGATCATGTATGTCAGAAACTATAATTTACTGCTGAACTCATTTTGTCATGGTAAAATAACACAGAAATCGAATAATAACACTTCAGTCTCCTGCCGAAGCTCAGACGCGCTGCTTTGAGAAACTGTCAATCACAGCTGTCAATCACGATGACACGCCCAGCATTAAATTACTGCTAAAAACAAACTGTTTACATAAATCAAGATCTGCGCCTATTTCAGCACAATAACCAGTGCCTTAATCCACCAGAACCATCTTTCGGGACATTTTATTGCAAGTGTAATAATTTTTTTTATTTGGGCGCAAGTCTTCTTCATTAACACGGAGGAGGCGGGCTTTATGACTTGTACTGCAGCCAGCCCCCAGGGGGCGATCTAACAGCCGAGACCTTCACTCAAACACAGGCTTGCAGCACACTTGGTTAATTCAGACTGCTGTACATTAAAACACAGTCATGAAGCATCAATACTTCAGTGCTGTAAGGCTCGAAGCTTACTCTGCTATTCTGAACCAATAATCGGAAACAGAAAGCAGTTGAAGAATGGCGTTTAAATCCATTATTTATCCGACTCCATTGTAATTAATCTGACTCCATTAAAGTTGTTATCATCATTGATAAAGAGAAAGAATCTCGTCTTAAAGCAGGCAAAGTTGTTTATTAAGTTACATGTTTAAATATACAGACATTAGACTGAAACAAACTAGCATACTGTATAAAGAAATTAGCTGTAACATATGCACTGCTGAGCAACAAAGACAGTGAAACTGCCTTTGTTAGCATATGAGGCTACGCACTGGTGTGCGGGAGATGCAGAGTAAAAGCCATTCTCCCAGATC